CAAAAGTTTGGCCTCTCCCTCCCTTCAAACCACCAACACCAACTGACCTGAGAGAAAGGAAAGCCACCACAGCGCTACTCCTGGCTCCTACTCCTAATCTCCAAAGACCCCGCTCAATGGTACTAAAAGCAGCTGAGATATCAAGAAGATATCTTGGTCTCATCACCCGCATCCCAATGCCATCAGAAATCATCCACAAGCGTGGTCAGTGCTTCTCTGTACTATGTTCCAGCCTGAAAACTTACTGGAAAGGATAGGTAAGCTTTCTTTAGTTCACACTGGATTAACTCAGATATAAACCAAGCTACCAGTCTCCCAACTAACTTCTCTCATTCCCTACTGGTCAAAATTCAAATGCACTCATTGGTCTCTTCCACATCACCAAGTTAGAGCCTCCTTGAGCCAGCAGAAAAATATGCTGGCATAAATTGTGCTGCCCTTATTGCCAATCCCTGTTGCCACATAACAAGGCCATTGAATAGTGCTAAATAACTATACTTATTGCAAGTCCAGTTGTTAGGGTAAGGGATTAATAGATTCTACTCGTTTCATTTCCCCTCCCACCAAGCATCCCTGCCTGCAGGAAAATAAATATCAATCACTCTCCCTAACATAGGGGTAGGCAAACTTGGAAGGATGCATCAAATGACAGGTTTAGCCATTTGATTAACAACTGGCAGGTGCCAAGGAAGGACATGGGGTGAAGCAGAAAGGAGCTGTATCAATATTTTGACATGGTGCAACTCCTGTTCCATGTCTCTTACCCATTAGCCAGGCTATTTCTGAATAGGTAAAGCAATCTTCTATAGCAAGAATGTTCAGTCTGTGTTTACAAATAGCCTGACCCACAAATAACAGATGTGGAGAGGATGTGGGGTGCAGCAGGAGGGAACAAGCAATAAAAGGCTAGCTCCATCATCTACTAGTGCTGCAAGGGAATGGTGGTGCTGTCAACAAATAGCTAAGGAGCGATACCCACTTCCCCCTTACTCTCATGGAAGGAGAGAGGGCTATAAGAGCTGCATCTGCATTTCACTGACTCTGAGACGATCATCCCAACAAGTTGCAGCACTCTAGCTATGTCCTCAGGGATAATTAAAATAATACAAGGAGTTCAAAGAATGGCCACGCAAACCTCTTTGTTGGCAGAAGCAACAGAAGACCTGAAATGAGTCCAACGGTGACATAACTAATAGCATACCGCTGGCAGAATCCAGCTTCCTTTCCTGATTTAGATTGATCTTCTGGGAGCACAGGCCTAGCATTCTTTCAAAGGAGCACTAGACCCGTGTTTAAAAGACAGGTCCAATGCTCTTTCCAAAAAGCGCTAAAGGTGTATTAATCAGAGGCTCACATAAGTCCTGACAAGTGGAGAGTGATGGACAGGCATGACATGGGCAAATGCTGATGTGGAATCCAACTGTTGGTCTCTCCTGCTGTAATGGGCTGTGAGAATAACCTCGGGAGACAGGAGGAAGAGCCACAGCCTAGACAACAGTCTGATAAGAGAAATCTGAGTCCGAAGGAGGAACGTGGGTGGAGAAAGCATCTCAGAAGGGTTCCTCGCTAGTTTTCTGGAGAGTTAAAGCAAGGGAGGGGAGAGGTGCTTTCAGACTTGCAAGATTCTGTCACTGTAACTTTATAAAAAAGGTAGTGTTAGAATTCATGGTTTGTACTTCTTGTCTGGACTACCTTGAAGGGCTAACACCAGCAACTTCATGCCACAGAAGCCACAGGGAGCAGTGCCCAGCAACCAGACCCAAGAGGTCTCGTTTGCAGCAGCCTGAAGGTGCCAGCAGCAGCTGGATAGATTCCAAACCTTGACAGCATCACCTACGAAATGGTTAGTAAAACATGCCAGATCATAATATCCATAGGACAAGAAGGAAAACATTACAGGCAGTCCCTGGGTTAAGAACATATGACTTACAGACAATTCGTACTTACAAATGGGCTGCCTATTACTAAAAATGGCAGACAGCATTCTCCTTCCTTGAGTTGACAAACTGCTGAAGCGGTGCAGTATGTGTGTGTGTGTGTGTGTGTGTGTGTGTATGATTAAAAGATTTAAAGAGAACATAACAACTAACATGAAATAATACAGAATAAAGAGAACAAAGAGAGAAAGAAAAAACAAAAAACAAAAGTGCAGAAAGAAAGAATAAAAAGAAATAGAAAGAAAAAGCTTCTGATTTTTTTTGCAGCAAATACAAGTATAATTACAAAATGATCTCTCACTTTATGATTACAAAAAAACCCTCACTTTTTTCTATTATCCAATTTTTTTTCTAATCAAAACCGCAAGTCATAAGTGCATTTTTCCCGTTTCATGTAAAAAAGTCTATAAGGGGTTTCCAGTCAGCCATAAATGTAGATATTGTCTTTTCTCTGATCAAGAACATTAATTTGGCTATCTCTGCAAGTTCCATCGTCTTCACCAACCAAGCCACACAATGTTTTCATGAATTGCGGAAGCTACACTTTTTTAATATACAGTCTGATTTCAGCGGGTTTCAGCAGTTCATGAAAATGTTGCATGGCTTCAGCAGTTTTCGACTCCAGGAAGGAGAACGCCGTCAGCCATTTTTAGTAATAGGCAATCCGTAAGTACAAGTTCTGACTTACGTACAAATTCAAGTTAATGCAGACGTAGGAATGGATCTTGTTCTTAACCCGGGGACTGCCTGTACTTGAAAACTACAACAGCTAAAAACAACGTTAAGCTTCCCCAGGTATGGGCTAGGGAAGAGATGAAAAACACTCTTGTTTTGCATCTGTTTTTTTGTGATATTATCTATTGTGTTACCACTTTTTTCTCTGTATAATGTTCCTGGTTTTATTATTTTATTTGACCACTGACTGTGGGCATTTAGAAACACACTAACTAAATACATGGCAAGCAGAGAGAGGGGAAGAATGGAAATCTCTCCTCCCTGGCTGCTGTCTGTGACTGTATATACACAAGTGTGTTTAATTTTCCCAAAGGCGATGACATTATATCCCTTCCCTTTTGCTCATTTCAGTGATTGATGTAGCACCAACCTGGAAAGTGAATTGGAAGGGAAGTGAATAGGTAGACAAAATTGATGGCTTGGATTGAAATCTGAACACAAGAAGAATTTGGGAGGTTAGGATGTAGACTACATTTCTGGCAAGCAGTACAGACCACTGGGATTTCTATTTCTAGTCCCAGAAACTTGATGGTGTGCATAGCATGGTTTTGGCCTCAGTTGTTGTGTGAACCTAACCAACTGCAGTTGATTCTGCTGGTTGTTATTCTGGAGAAGACTAAACCCCAACATCTTTTGAATAAAACTAATGGAACTTAATGGTCACATTTTTTTTTTTTTAATCTGCA